CTGTTGACTCATGGTCCTTATTTAGCCCATTTATATAATCCCTGCAAAATGCTAACCATACCTGTAGGACCTTATACTCTAATTTATAAACATATCAGATAGCTAATTCCATGGCTTGATTATAGATAGAGCAAGTAAGCAGGTGTTAAGAGAATCAACAAAGCAGGATTTTTTTTTTTTTTTAAGAAAGGAGCATCTGACCTCAGCATGTGTGTAAGTTTAGTTTTTTAGGCTAACCTTGTTTTTACTTAAATTTAGATATTGGGGCTCATCATATTTTCAGTGTGTCATAAAAATTATGATCAGGCTTTGATAATTTCTCATTTCAATAGTGTTCTCGATGACTTCACAGAGCTTATAGGTATGGTCAAGCAGAAAAATTAATTATACCATAACTACAATTATTTAGAACTCCCTAAAAACAAGGATGGCAACCATGGCTATTGCTGACCACTAACCACACACCAGGCACAGTGCTGTGTTCTATGCAGATTTTCTCTTTTAATCCAGAATAGAAATTTTATGGGATAGGACTCTTACTATTCCCATTTTCAGAGATGAGAAACATGAGGTTTTGAACAATTTCCTTAAAGTTATGTGACATATTTTATAGTCATTAAAAATTGTCTTGAAGTAATTTTATGACATGGGAAAATGTTAAATAAGAAGGTAAGATAAAACTAAATATATCTTATGATCCAGAACATTTGACGGAGTCTGTGGGTATATGTGTGTGAATTTGAAGGAAAAAAAAACTGCATCCAAACACTAACAGTGTTTTTTCTGGATGGTAGAATTATGGGATTTTGGGTTTTTTGTTTTTTTACTTTTTTTATTCTATGCAAAATTTTTAAATTTGTTGTAATGAACATGCACCTCTATTATTATACGTTTTTATTTTTTTTAAAGATTTATTTATTTGAGAGAGAGCTTATGTGCCAGTTGGGGGAGGGACAGGAGGAGAGGGAGAGAGAGAAGCCTCAAGCAGTGTCCCTGCTGAGCACAGATCAGACACAGGGCTGGATCCCAGGACCTTAAGATCATGACCTGAGGCAAAATCAAGAATCAGACACCTAACTGACTGAGCCACACAGGCACTCCTATTATGAGGTTTTAAATAACCACAAGTATTTATATGAAAACTTCTTGGTATGTATGAAAAAGTTGGGTGTTATAGAATATCTAAGTTCTCAGAAGAGGTCAAGTATTTCTCATATATATTTTTCTATTATTCATAGTTATTAATTCACCACGATCCATCCTGGAAAAGGCCGCAGGACCATCCAAGGCCAAGTATCAAGGCAATCCATTACCAGAGAACTCTGAGGAAAATAAATCTCATAAAGGGGCTTGAGAACTCCTGTCACCATCACATTTTGGTACTTCCTTCTCTCAGGAAGTAAAGACAAAAAGAGGCCGTGACTGTAGTTCATAATATATATATATATATATATATATACATATATATATATGTATATATATATGTATATATATATATAGTCTCAATGTATTCCAAAAAATCAAGTACATACCTGCATTGAGAGCTGAGCGCTGCCAATCCCATTCTTAAGTCTCTTGTTTTTGAAGCCTGCTTACTTACTCTTTTGGGATATATTTTTCAACAAATTGCTTTTATCCTCATACACCAAACAAGGCAAAAAAAAAAGTTATAAGTCGGTATTATATTTTTGACTTAAGCGAGGAAATAAAAATCATCAGATTCCCACCTCACTGGTCCCCCCCACCCACTCCATCCCCCCTCGCCAAAGGACTTGGTGTTCCACTGCAGGCTAAACTTCTTTGTTTGCATTCAATTTACTAAGCATGTGATGCCAATACTGAAGCCGAGGGTTATTTGCCCATCAAAAAATCCTAGCTTTGGAAGTCTGGGAAAGGTGAGGATAACATCTGAATGTTGCTTGGCATTGCACTCGATAGAGAATAAAAAAAATAGTAAAACTCTTTTCCAGTTTCTGACAATGTACTGTAATACCTGTGTCATGGTGAAGAAAGGGGCAGTCTTGCCTGAAATGGAAAGCTAACATTGATTTTCCTCAATCTTAAAATGGCTTCATAAGTTGTAGTATCATTCTAGAAGATTCTGGAAACCAAGAAGATCAATTTGTCAGGTGGTAGGAAACAGTGGGAGAAAGTAGAGCAGGTGATACTTGGGATACATTATGTTTGACGAACATGTGACACACAGTGTTTGATAAATATTTATCAGATGGAGGAAGGTGTACTACCCCAGGGTGGTTCCTGGTGATCTTGCACCCAGTATGGTCCCAGCATGCATTACAAGCCCACTTCCCTACAATCTACTCATATTCCCTGAGGAAAGGGCTGGTAAATCAAAGGGAAATATTGCAAGTTCCAATAGAGTCAACTAGGTTAAGGCAGGGAAATGGATCCCAAACCTCTTATTAACTCATCCACTGAGGAGTGACAATAGCAAAGGCTGACCCCCTGTGGCAACTAGCGGAACTACACCTCATCATAGGATAATATTTGGGTCACCAAAATACATTTCCAGACCTGGCCAGCATGGCTCTGGTACAGGTAGGGATCCATCAGGATAAGAAAACATAGTTCAGGTCTAAGTATTGTTAATATGAACCCCTTGATATGGTTTAAACTGTGTGCTTCCTCTCAGAAGCCAAAGGAAATGATTCAAACCATGTGTCAAAATGCAGTTTTTCATTTTTCAAATCAAAAAGCTCTTCAGAGAAGTAAATTTAGTTTCCACATATATTTGCCAGAATTTATTTTTTATTTCCCTCAGAAAAAAATGAAAGGTGCAGTCTAGCTGGTTGGTTTGTTCATTTGCCTTCTAAAATTCTTCCTATGGCCTTGATCATTATATTCAGAAATAATGAAACAGAACTAGATCGTAGCGATCAGAACCTTCCCAGTACAAGGCTATTCTCAGACTCGTCCTCAGACAACGGTGGAAGTGGCCTTCACTCTTTCAGATGCTCGTTCAGGTGGTACTGGGGAAATCTTTGGGGCAGCTCTCTGGAGACTAAAAGGGTTAAAGTTTCTAAAAATGCTTAACTTAAATCAGGTGGGTATTTAGGTGCCATAAGAAATCCAACTTAATTTTTAGAAAGGCTGAAACTTAGAGTATCATGCCTGAATTCTTATACCACGAGCATTTGTTCCAAAAGTACAATTGCTTTAAGAGGTATAAACTCAATTATAAAATAAGCCATGGAGACGCAATGCACAGTACAGGGAGTGTAGTCAATAATATTGGTAATAACTGTGTATGGTGACAGATGGTAACTAGACTGAAAAAAAAAAAGGAAATTTCCTTTAGGAGATGAAGTCCTTAGGGGATGGTTTGTCATCTCTCATCATCTTTGTTATGAAGTAGATCAAGAACAAGGGAGTGTCACCCACATTGTACACTTGGCCACACACATAAACCAATTCTCTAATCTTATTACTATATAGTACAAAAACGATCCACGTATAAATAAGCATTTGCTTTATTTACTCATCTGCATTAGAATCAAATGAGATGATAAACCTGCAGGGCAACAGGTGATTCCATTTCTGACATCAGAGTAACATTTTTCATGCACATAACAGAAGTTCTTGTTTCACAGTGCAGCTGCTGTAAGTTAAATTGATTCAATTTAATTAACAAGCATTTACTCGGTGCCTACCTGTAAATACAGCACTATACTTACTAGGCATACAAAGGAGGTAAAAGGCATGATCCCTGCTCATAGGGAGCTCCCAATCTGGAGAGGAAAGATGATCCATGCATTACAGGAAACAGTAAGAACTGTTAAAAATCACAGGAAAGTCTGTATAAATCATAGACTCTGAATTAAAGACATGAGGGCCCAAGGAAACCTACTGAGGAGAGAGAGATTTGGGAATGGAGGCCAATCTGGAAAACTGGACCAAAGGAAGTACCTCTTGAATTTGTATCATGGCGAGTGATGAGCAAATGGATTGGCAGAGGAACAGGAGATCATTTCACAGCCAGATCAAGAGTTAAGAAGGAAAAACTCAAAAACATGGAAACAAAACCCAGCAAGTCAACTGCAGGAAATGGCAGGCAGATTGGCTTAGCTCTGGAAAAGGACGCTGTGGGTAGATGTAACTGAAATCACACAACAAGCCTGGCTGAGGGCACTGATGGCCGCTCTTCAAAGTCAATTCAAACTTTGAATAAATACTAACGCTTAAATACTTCCATAAACTGAGCCCCCCCCATAAAAGTGTACGTTTTCCCAACCTTAACAAAAAAGCAAAGACACATCGTGGAATATTAGAATCTAAACTCAGGCAATGTGATCATTGGAGGAGGTCACGATCAGGCTGTGAAGAAGCTGCAATCATGTACAACTGTCTTAAAAAAAAAAACAAAACTCACAAAGAGGTAGGTTGTCTATGACCCATGTACTTCCTCAAGCTGAGAGAACTTCAACCCTGTGCTACTTAGACCTCTATTTCCCTTAGTGTTTTTCTTTTAAAAAGCCCATTCCTTCTCATACTGAACCCACCAGCAAATAAAGAGTCTTGAGTGTACAGTTGTGGGGGCCCTGGAGGGAGAGACAGGAAAAAAAAAAAAATGGAAAACAAGATGTTGGTTTTAAACTGTGAGTTAGTGAATAATTACAATGAATACTTTATAAAAATATTTCTGAACTCTGAAGGAAAAAAAAAGGGTGAAATCTCTCTGTTCCAAAGAAAAGAATACTAAGGCAGAAGGAGTCTATAACATGGAAGTCCATATGAGTGAAGTATTTTTAATTAACCCAAATGGTAAACCAGTAACCTGTTTTGCTGAATCACATTCACTCTTAAACTCAGTTTGCTGGAAGTGATGTCAGGGAAATCAGGGGAGAAAGTGCGGGTGCAGGAGCAAATCCCTTCATTTGGAACGAGGTGGAGATAGTCCCTGCTGAACTAGGACTGACAAGGCCTTGACTGACCATCATGACCTTGACAATCCATGAGGGTTGGAACAAGGGAACAGCAAATTCACGATGCTTGTCATCTTGACTTTTACGTGAGTCATTGGTTTTAAGCAGCAAGGGGAGGAGTACTTCTGGGTCCCAGCGTGTCTATGCAAGTTACTGGCCACCAGCAGCCGCAGCTGTTCAAGAGAGGGAAAGAGAGAGAGAAAAGATGAAGAAGCAAGTGACAATTTAGCTTTCACGGTGCTTAATGTTCTGAAAGAGGTGATCTGAAACCAGTATCTTCCAAATGTGCCCCACACTGCTGTAATATTTAGTATTTTTATATTCAAAATATTTCCATATTTCTTATTTTTCAGGATAGTGAAAATGAGAGTTCTGCTCCTTTTATAAAATTTATTCAGTACTATTTATATAATTAATATAAAAATGCACCCTTTTAAAATTTTTCCAGTAAAAGAATTCCTCATCAGCCAGTAGGAATTCAGTCGGTATTTAGCGAATGATGGTTATGTATAAAGTTCCATAGTAAATTCTGAGAAAGCAACTATGAATAAGATAGTCTCTGCCTTTACAAATGTTGTACACGTTTTTAAGTACAAATTATGGGAAAATATCAAATAAATAGCATGCAATAGGATTATATCATTATTTAAAACAATAAAGCTAACAGTAAGCTTTAACTAGAATTCAGATCTTAAAAGTCAGAACTTTTCCCTCACTACTCTAAACACTCATTTGCTCATGTTAAGTTATAGTCACAATCTATACAAGAAATACAAGAGCAGAGAGGACATGTGTGACATATTTGCTTCCAACTCTAAGATGCCCAAGGGGCTCACTTCGGCTTTAAGGACACACAGAAACCAAGAGTGAAGGGTTGGAAAAATATATTCCATGCAAATGGAAACCAGAAGAAGGTGTAGCTACATTTATTTCAGACAAAATACATTTTAAGCCAAAAATGGTAACATGAGACACAGACCATTATTATGTAATAATTACATTATTATGCAATGACATAATATATTACATAATACTTAATTACATAATAATTACATTATTATGTAATGATTAAAGAAGACACAAATAAATGGAGAGATCACTCATGTTAGTGGATTAGAAGAACTAATACTGTGAAAATGCACATACCACCCAAAGCAATCTACAGATTCAATGCAATCCTTATCAAAATTCCAATGGCATTTTCAAAGAAATAGAAAAAACAATCCTTATATTTGATGGAACTGCAGAAATATCCCAAATAGCCAAAACAATCTTGAGAGACAACAAAGCTGGAGACCTCACACTTCCTGATCTCAAACTATATTGCAAAGCTACAGTAATTAAACAGTACAGTGTTGGCATCAAAACAGACAGTAAGATCACTAAAACAGAATAGAGAAATGGGGAATAAACACACGCACATATGGCCACTTAGTTTTTGGCAAGTACTAAGGATACATAATGAAGAATGGATATTCTCTTCAATAAATAGTGCTGGGAAAACTGGATATCCACATACAAAAGAATGAAACTGAACCCTTAAAACGTACACAAAAATCAACACAAAATGTAAGACCTTAAACCATAAAACCCCTAGTAGAAAACCTAGGGGAAAAAATCTCCTTGCCCTTGGTCTTGGCAATGATTTTTGTATTTGACACGAAAAACAAAAGCAGCAAAAGTAAACATTAAACTAAAAAGCTTCTGCAAGGCAGAGGAAATCATCAATAAAATGAACAAGCAAGCTATGGAATGGGGGGAGAATATCTGTAATTTGATAAGGGTTTAATATCCAAAATAGACAAGGAAATGAAACAACTCAACAACATAAAAACCAAATAACCTAATTTAAAATGGAAAAAGGACCTGAATAAGCATTAATTCAAAGAAGACATACACGCGGTCAATATTTGTACATGGAAAGGTGCTCGAGATCACTATCAGGAAAATGCAAACCAAACCACATGAGATAGCACCTCACACCATCAGGATGTCTATTATCAAAAAGGCAAGAGACAATCAATGCTGGCAAGGATGTGGAGAAAAGGGAACCATTGTGCACTGTTGGTGGGAATGTAAAGTGATATAGCCAGTATGGAAAACAGTACGAAAGAAATTAAAAATAGAACTATCCTATGAGCCAGCATCCTACTTCTGGGACATATATCCAGGGGAAATGAAATCATTAATTTGTGTTCCCATGCTCACTGCAGCATGGGAGGATAAAAACAATATAAGAGTCCATCTACGGAGAAATGGATAAAGAAAATGTGATATGCGTATAATATCATAATAATATAATAATATTCAACCTTATAAAAAAGGAAATCCTGCCATTTACAACAATGTGGAAAATACAATAAGCTAGACAGAGGAAGACAAATACTGCATGGTATCACTTATATGTGGAATCTGAAAAAAAAGAAAAAAAGTCAAACTGATGAACACAGAGAGTAGCATGGTGGTAACCAGGAGCTTGGGGGTGGGGGGGAAAGGGAGAGACTGGTAGAAGGGTACAAATTTTCAGTCGTAGGATGAATAAGGTCTGAGACTATTATGTGTAACACAGTGAACTATAGTTGATGATACCACATTATATAATTGAAATTGGCTAAGAGAGTAGAACTTAAGTCTTTTCACCAAAAAGAAAAAGGTAAATATGTGAGGTAAGGGATGTGTTAATGACTCAGTGGTGGGAGTCCTTTCATAATGGATATGCGTATCAAAATGCACGTCGAATGCTTAAATATGTATTATAATTTCATTTGTTGAAGCTGGAAAAATTAAATGCAATTAAAGGCACAAATAGCTTAGTAATTAAAAAAATAAATCTAAGACAAGTGTAATACAAGGACATAGCACTGGAAATTGTTAATCTGCTCCTGTTGCCATAAGGGTCAGCCAATGTGGAAGGAGTAGCATTGAAAGAACTACAGAGAAATGGGGCTCAGCTCTGCTTGCTTCTAAACTTGGGGCAAAATGTGGCCTGAAGCCATACATACCACTCTCTTATTCATTTGTGTGGACTAATGAATTTACTTATTTATTTTCTACTTAAATCCATTTGGGTTGGGTTCTATTACTTACATAGGGGGAAAGCCCTGGTAATGCTAAAAGTTTTAAAGTTAAGAATGAGGGAAAAGTTTGAAAAAATTTTCCCTAAACTTCTTAGACATCACTTTTCCACGAGGAATGCAGAGCGTATAGGGGATCTTGGCAAATAGGCGTATACCTTACTGGAGTGTTTTTAAATTAAGGAGGTTACCAAAAAAAGAGATTAATGATTTAGAAAAGACTCCAGGAAATCAACAGTGGTGGGTTCAGAAGAGCCTAATCATATCTTCCCTGTGTATCCATCTATGTATAAAAAGGGTCCCACTGAGGAGAGACTCTGCATTTGTGTCTATTTTTTTTATATATAAAAGATTTTATTTTTATTTATTTATTTAAGAGAGAGAAAGAAAGCATGATTCGGGTAGAGAGGAAGGGCCAAGGGAGAAGCAGACTCCCTGCATAGCAGGAATCCCAACACAGGCCCTGATCCCAAGACCCTGAGATTATGACCTAGGCAGAAGGCAGACACTTAGCTGATTGAGCCACCCAGGTGTCCCTTGTGTCTGCTATTTGATTATGACTATATGGATGTCATCTTCATCTTCTGTTAATTTACAAAGTCACCTTTCCATTACTACTGCCAAGTTTACACGTCTGAATTTTCCTTTCTCTTGCCTTTCCCCCACTGGAAAACAACCAAGCCTCCTAGATATGAGGGCTAAGAGGGTCTCAAAAGGTGAACAGTAAAAATTGTGGCATGACTCACTCACGGCCATAACACCAACATGCATCAAATGCCCCATTTAGAGAGAGAGGGGGGAAAAAAAGGGAAGAGCATTTTTCTGTAGGGGGAAAATTGCAATCATCAACATTCCTCCAACCTGCTCGGGCAGCTGCCATTTTCTTGTTGCGCAATTTGTTCTCCAAAGCTTGCTATAAAATACAAAAAGGAAAGAAGAACATGAGCTTTCCTGGTATTTCCTACTACTTGCCATTAATAAAGATAATATGTTAATGAAATAAATTATATCCTACCTGTTTCATCTTCTTTTTTAGATCCAGATTTGCTGCCTTCTGGCCCTTTGCAGTAGCATTGAGGTAATAGATGGTCAAGCTACATTTTTAAAATAATAAGATTTATGCTTATTTTTTAGTTCGAGTCTTCTTAAATTTACATTCACTAAATCATAGAACACTGGGGCACTGGAGTGAACTTTAAGATATTTTCTACTCTAATCTTTTATTGTACAGATGAAAGACTGAAGTACACAGAAGTAAAGAAGTACATTTGGGACATGATTACTAGGGATGACCTGGGAAGATGGGACCCAAGGGGGTCCTCTTCCACAGCCCGGCATTCTGTCTACCATACCCCGCTGCCTAACTGTAGCTTCTTCTTGGAAATGTACTAGTATCACTTGAAATCATAGTTGAAAGTAACACTTCAAGTTGACATTAATCTCCTGAAGCATAGGGAATGTGTAGAATAAAAAAACTGACTTTCTGCTTTAAATTTCCTCCTTTGGCTTTTATAGCAAAGAATATAATCCTCCTCATCATAGTTCACTAACATGGGTTTTTTTATTTCCACAGAATGTATTGTTTGCATTTCTCCCTTCTTCGAAAAGAAAATGTTTTATAAAGGAATAGTCCTAACTTGTAGTTGACATTTACATTTCTAGAAAGAGCAAATTCCAGCCAAACATTTGTGTAAAAATAAATATGTTCATCTTCATTTAAAGCAAAACAAACAAACAAAATGCAGTTAAAAAAAAAAAAAGGTAACTGGCATTGCTCTTTGTTGCAAATAGCTAGATACTAAACACATTTCCTCTACTCCCCAACCATGCCAGATTATATCCTTTATGAGCCATCTGGTGCTAGCAACACAATTATTGATATGGTTTAGCTGGGTTTGTTTATCTCTTATATGAGTGATGGGAGTTTGAATGCAATTATGTACATGAAAGCATTTGGTATACTATTTGGCATGAAGTAGGTGCTCAATAAATGTGTGTGTGTGTGTGTGTGTGTGTGTGTGTGTGTGTGTGTGTTACATGGATGTTCGTAGAAAAGTACCTGGATTTGGAGGAAAAACCCAAAGACCTCACAAGTCACTCGTAGTTCTGGAATTCTCTAGTCTCCAAAGGAATGAACCCGGCTACAGAGAAGTAACCTGAAATCTACTCAGTTACCCAAAAACCATCCAAGCGGATGTAATATGATCCATTGGGGAAATTCAAAATGTGTATAACGTGTAACATTCTCTAATTAAAGGTAATAAAGAGCCAAGCCAATTGCATGAGCCCCATGAACTGGAAGATGAGATCTCAGGATTCGAAAAATCAAGTCAGCAATAAACTGAAATTGGGTTTTCAGTCAGAACCTCAGAACTATAATCAGCCTTGCAGGACATCTATTTGACCTCATATCTTGCCAGCTTTTCACTACACAATCTGTACCAAGGGTTGGCAAACTGTAGTCTCCGGGGCAGAAATGACTCCCAGCCTGTTCTGCATGGCCTATGAACTAAGAATGGTTTTTACACTTTTACATGGTTATTTAAGTACTTATATAATACCCCCAATTTTGTCGTTTGACCCATCCAACCTAATATATCTAGGATTTGGCCCTTTAAGAAAAAAATGTGCCGACCATGGGTATAGACCATCCCTGCCAAGTGACTTCGAGATCTTCTGTATATTCTGTATTTTCCCATTCATCCCAAACTCAGTGTTTAGTGCTTCAAAGACTTAGGGGGGGATGAGAGATGGGAAATAGGACATGGGTTTGAACTGACTTATTAGTCACTTGATTTGGGGGTAGATCTTCCTTGTCATATCAATAATGGGATTGATGAGGCCAGCCCTTTCAGGTTATAGTGGAAATTAAATGATTAATGTACAGGTAGTGCCTGGACACAGGCAACGTTAGTTCTTCTTCCACACTCTCAGCTTGTTAAATCTTCGATTGGTGGCATTAGAACAATGTTGCTCCTTTGCTTAGAAATCAATCTCTCAGTAAGTTAAGACGATAGTCATAAAATCTGACATTAAGTTTTGTTGGGTTTTATTTTTTTAATATAGGATCTCATTTATACCACTAAATGGCCTTGGCTTTTAAAAACCAGGTGATACTTCACGTGGTCCCAGAAGCCACTGTAACATGAAAACTTGGAAAAGAAAAATCACTTCAAGGGCCATCTGGTGAAACAGGCTGCATCCAGCAGGTCAATTTCTAACACATGTGCACCAGAGACTCACTACCAGATTCTGAATGCCACCCCACCAGCAAGGTTCTCTAAAAAACAAATGTAGTCTGTTTTACTGTTGAATTATCCCCCTGGGCTATTAGCTCGCCCTCAGAGAAGGGGTCCCACGTAAAGAGGTTGGATTTATTGTCAACCTACTATTACCATTTTGCTATACTATACGCTTTCTCACCTAGGGAAAATCACTTTAATGATGACACCCGTCATCTCTGATGTGGCCCATTACCATGACCATGACCTACCATCACAAAGACGATGCTAACAACTCGGCCCAGAACCCAATTCATGTACTTCATTGTTTTCAGAAGATTTCCTAGTTTTACCTTTTTTAAAAACAAATCCCACCCTTTGCATCAGCTTTGTTTTTAAAGTGTTTCTGAGGGTGGTTTCCTACTTGCCTCCCTTGACTGAGAGAATGCAATGGTGGTTTCAGACTTTCTATCTGAGAGGGCTTCAGGGGTTGAAAGGAAGGTCTAGCACATTTTTTTTTTTTTTTTTAGCTCTTTGACAGTAAGCATATATTTTACCTCAGAATGTAATTTTATCTCTGTGGTGGTCAAGAGAAGCCAATGAAAGTTACATGGAGACAAAAACCCCCTCCCAAGTTCCCCTTTGGATACCACCTCTGACTTTCAAAGGGATAGACTAAGTGACCTTTCCAAGACCCTTCTGATTCTCTGATTGTATTACTGTGGACACACACTTAATGATGGCCTTTCAGGGACAAGGACATGGTACTTTCTAGAACCCCTTAAACCCTTAGTCCTAAAATATAGCCAATAGGGCCCCCAGAGGGAATATTAACTCAGAGGCTCATGATTTCTATGTGTTCCCAGCCATCTGCTTTATGGAACAAGAAGTGGGGGCCAGGAGACGGGGGGAAGCTCGTTGTGCTGATTAGATCTAGCATTTAGCATTTATGTTTCCCTTGCTTTAGCTGTTTACTGATAATTATTTTGGTTACTTGGGAACAAATCTTATAATCCTAGGCAGGCAAAGACAGATGCAGATGGCTATGAATTACATCCAATAGGATTAGAAAATGGCTCATGAATTTCAACCTCTCACCACCATGTAATTCAGCCCTGAATTTGGGGAGGTTACAGCACAACGCTTAGAGAGCGTGGGAAAGCTTTAAAAAAAAAAAAAAAAAAAAAAAAAAAAGCTGAAATTTACAAGGAGCCATTCTTCATTACAAAGACCCTGTCTATGAGTGGAGAAGCACATACACCATAACCAAAATGATAGCAAGGATCAATCCAGGATTAGAAAGCTGCCTCAAGATCTTCGCCATCCAGCTTGGGAAATCATGCTCCAGTGTTTCTCCAATGACTTCGAACATTCTATTTTTGCCACTGGGAAAAAAAAGAGGGTCAGGGAAGAGAGGTTTATTTACAACCTAGGTAAAAACCACGATGACAGCAAGAAAACTAGAAATCTTTCTCAAACACCACCTCAGGGCTCTTTCAGGTTGGGAACCTAATATTTAGCTCCAGCTCTGGGCACTCTGACCTCTTATTGTCAACATGTGGGTGAGGGAGGAGGCATGATATCTCAACAGAAACACACAGTTGAGCAATTAGGAATTTAACCACAGCATTAGGAGAAGGTTTCTTAAAGCTGTATTTCAAAGATTTTGATTGAAATATATTTTATAAATAGCTCATAACTCTACCCCTCAGCCAGCTGTCCTTGTTGGGGAACACTCCCTCTGGGCTGAATAAATAGTGCACTCGATTGTTTAATTAGCCTTGGAAATGAACATAAAGAAGAGCTTAACGGAATAAAGTCCACAAATAATCCAATATCTCTCCCATGCAATAGTTGCTATCTCATTTCCCACAGACTGCTTTCGTGGGAGTTGTTAATAGGTAGCCACACTGAATGATGAGCCCTTTCTCTCTCTGCCATTTCTTGCGGACAGGCCCTAATGACTGCAGGCTCAGTCCCACTACAAGGAACAGAAAATGCAAAAAAAAGGAAAATAAGCCTGAAAAGCAGAAGTCCTTAATGGGTTTGTTCTCAGCCCATTAAGGTAAGAATCAAACTTTGTAAGCTAGAAAAATGAGAGCAGGAAGTCTGTCTTATCTTAGTACATAATATTCAGAATTATAAAGTAATGCCCATCATGTCAAGCTATTTTTTCTGTATGTGCCTATTGATTCTACTATGAAAGCTGTAATTCTCAGAAAAGAAGATTAGGTTATTTATCGCCAAGTGGTATGTATCTTCAGAATAAAGGCTGGTATTACACTTCATATTCTGGTTTCACTTTTGTTTTTTGATCTTTATACATTCTCACAGACTAGACAAACATGAACCACAAGTTCCAGATGAGATTTTTTTTCTCATGGTCTAACTAATAATAGCTTTTGAAAGACTGAGAGTAACCCCAAGTATCTAGTCAAGAGTTAGTTACTGAACTGCCCGGGTGTAAGTTTCGCTTCACAAATTACAAATCTGCACCTAGTAAGACCTGTCTGTATTAAAGAGGAATGTAGCTTGCAGATCATTCAAGATTATATCAGTTTATTCCGCTAAGATTTCTTTGTCCTCATCCATTCGAACTGGTCATGCTTTTCTCCTAGACATGGGGGATACAGCTCGAGTGAGACGATAGGCAAGGACGAGAGAAGGTAAGACCATCCACTCTCCCTTCTCCAACTTCTTGGGCTGAGGTTGATGACTGTGGTTAGAATGGGCGGACTGGAATTTTACAAAATGTTCTCTACCCACAGAGGTCTTCTCTGCATTCAGACTGTCCCAAATTCAAAGTCATTAGCATCTCTGGGGATTCTCCGAGGTCTGGCATCTTAATGGGAGTCCAGATCTCTTACTTCTATACAAACTAAAGAAGCAACTACTGATCCCTAAAAATCCTTTTTTTTCTGACAGTTTAGCCAAAGTGTGCCACATCCCAATATCCCCAGAAGTCCTTTTCAGTCTGCTGTGACTCTATGGTCAGATGAAATGACACTGCACATAAGGTCCTACGGGCATAGCTCCATCCACCCTGCATTAGAATGTCTATGAGCAGACCAGTCTTGCCAGTGGACCAAGAGCTTCCAGGACCAGAATCAGTGTCCAGTTTATTCCTACATTTCCTCTAATGCTTAATGCATAAGCAGTCATTATTCTTTCATTACTTCAAATTACCGGCCAACACTCTACTGTGTTTAGAATCACATGGTTGAAAATATTCTATCCCCAACCTCAAGAAGCCAGCAACACTATTAAAAGAAATACACACACATAAAGTATAATAGCAAATAAATAATATAATAGCAGTACCACAATGTAAAACAGAAATATAAATATAAAAGTGTCACGACACAATATAAATCTGCACTTATTGTACGATCTGTTATTTTTAAAAGCTTCATAAAATGAAAACCAGAACACAACATGCCGAAATGTTGAGAGTTCTTATTTCAGTTGGTAATCTTTGGGGTTATGAGCAGTGTTTATTTTCGTGTAGAAATGTTTCTATAGTTTCCAGGTTTTCTAGGATAAACACACAATACCTTTGCAGTAAGATGAAAATACATACAAACATAATTACGGTGATACTGACATGGAGAGAACTGAGAACCTAGAGAATTAGAAATTGTTCAGAATTATTAGCGAGGGGCTGGGGGAGAAACATCATGTCAGCCAATATGGTAGAGCAATTAAAGAATTTTTTTCTTAATTGGGACAACAAATAAATAGTTTTTACCTTGCTGAACTGTTTAAGGTAAATCCACTTAACAGTGTATTGGAATAATTTTCTGGAAAATTCACAGTCTTTAATCAGCTCTCAGGAAACCACAACAAGCTAGAATACCTCATCAAATTGCTTTACAGAATGGGTCTTCTTCCAAGGTATGGAGCCACCTTACCTGAAGAAAACATACCTGTACCTGGGAGGGATTAGCCATCACTGTGTCCCTTGTGGGGCCACCCATTAACCTACCTCAAATGCATGTTTGCTGCCCACCCAGTTGCCACATAGGGTCAGACTAGACAGGCTGAGCAAACCACCCCAAACTCAGGATCCCTAGGATGGCCAAGCCGTGAGCCTCCTATTAATGCATGTTTTCTCACCTCATTCCTAGTTTCTGGGCAGAGCAAGCCTTTTAAACATTTAAGTCCAAACAAAGCAACAAAGCATACTTTTTTTTTGCTCCTAAATGAGGAAACTGACAAGAGAAATAGACTATTTAAGTAAAATAGAAATACCCCTTTCCTGACATGCTACTGAAAATATGTAAAATTTTCCTGATCTCAGAATCTCGATACATACGCAGAAATTTTGCCTAAGTTTGCTAATTGGAAAACACTTGGTCAAAATCAGAGAGTATACCTTAGATACAATCTCATCTTTTTTTCATTAAGTTCATAGTAACTGTGTGTGATATAAAGAGAGGCAGAGGAATTAGGCTCAAAAGGCTAAAATTGTGTGGTCATGGTACAGGTCTAGCTCAATGGTATCTTTCACAGGAACGTACTTGTTCCATCCAGCTCCATGTGGACCTCGTGGGGTTTCCCTTCGTTTGATATATTTTTCTGAGAAAGATCAACTTGCAACTAGAAAGTTAAAAGCATATCTAAAACTCAACGTGGATATTCACTTGCATGGGTAATTTGCAATTAACGGAAGTCTTTGAACGGCTTATCTGGTGAACTTTATACCCTGAGATTCATTAGACATTTATTAAGACCAAGCTCTTCTTCAAGACTGCAATTTCATATTTAGTCTCCAGATGTCACTGTCTGCATTATTTATTTCAGCCCGGAGGAGGTGGGGGGGTGGAACTGATCAGGATTTGTCAACATCAGCTTCCTAAGTATGACAGAACTCTAGTAGTTTCTGCCCTATCTGCTGGCTTAATAGTTTCCTTTTTTTTTTTTTTTTCAGTAAAGCAATAACTCCTCAAACTATTGTTAGAGTGAAAATGCCTTTACACTTAAGTCTATGAGCAATGAAATTTTGACTTTAATAACTTGGCATCTGACAACAAGATTGGCTCAAGCTTCTCACCCACATGGCTTTTCACATTCACGTTTCTTTCACTTGGGAAGGAGAAAGAAATCAAATGCATGCTGACCAGTGACTCAACAGGCAGAGATTCTTTGGGGGGACTTGTGGTAGGTTCATTTCATTTCATTTCTTTTTTTTAAGAGAGAGGGCAGAGGAGAGGAGGGAGAGAAAGAATCTTAAGCAGGCTCCACACTGGGCATGGAGCCTGATGAGTGCAGAGCTCTAACTTACCACCCTGAGATCACCTGAGCCAAATTCAAGAGTCAGACGCTTAACCAACTGAGCCACCCGGTGGCGGGGCGGGGGGGAGGGGGGTGTCCATGGTAGATTCATTTCTTTCTTTCTTTCTTTTTTTTTTGGTAGATTCATTTCTAAGGCCCTATTTAGGGAATGAAATCTCAGTTCCTCATATCCCAGGGACTTTGTTTCCTTGATAAGTGTCACAGAACTTGGTCATCGAGAACTGGAGAAAAAGTCCATTTCAGTTTGGATCAGAGAGACTTACTGACTTTTCATTACTGATGTGAACGATTTATCCTTGTTATTTTGAGAGATTATACGTGCTGCACATTATCCTCAATGTTTTACTGGCATGTAGCATTATGGATTATAAAATGTGTGACCCACTTTATATTCATAATTATCTAATAATGATCCCATTTCTACATAGTTTGTGCAATAATCTACTTTTAATTAATTATATCCTATTGGGCATGACCTAGTGATAACTTCTGATTTTTGGACATGGTGGCCTAGCAGCAGGAAAATTTTCACATCCCCACCAGCATAATCATTAAACCTTGCTCTTTGCTACCCTCTTATGGCTCTGATTTAGTGTCCGTATTTTACCCAGGTAGAGCCCGGGTGCACACAAATCATCTTCCCTTTTATGATTCCCAAGTAAGAAAATCGAGGGACTTGCCTAAGAATCTCCATGTTACCTCATGAGCCTGACTGCCCAAAGAACCACATTTCTACAGACCAAAATGCCGCTGTTGGCGGGGAGGGGGCGGGGCAGGGGGAAACAAAACTCATAGGAGAGACTATTCCTAGTTCCACGCCGGGAAGAAAACAGCATTTTCAAAGGCCAGAACCTGAAGGGGCCACAGTCAAAAGATGGTGGCAGCGACACGATCATGTACAGGACGGGCATGGTGGACAGGAAGAGGATGAGCAGTAGCATGCCCAGGTAGAAGTTATTCGATCTGGAAGCTTTGAAGACCCTGGCCTCAGGGACGTTGCAACACATCACGGCCCAGCACTGGAAGTACATGGATGTGTGGAGTCGAAGGATATTGATGCCTGGGAGGCTGGGGGCAAAGAAGGAGCCCATCCTGGAAAGAAAAACGTGCCTCTGCTCAGTCCCAGTCTTCTCTTCATAACAGAGTCACACAGCACCTGCTCACGTCACGTCATGTTTAAACGCAGCGCGGCGTTGGACCCACAAACCGTTTTTATAAATAAACTTGACTGGTCAATTTCCATCTTCTGTGCACATTTTACCATCTCCCCATTATCCAGGAATTGCCTATGGGATTCTCGCATGGCAATTATGCCGTTGACTAACGGTATCTGCTCTCATTAATAAACTTAAACTACACCAGAGAAAACAATGTATCACATGTATTTTTATTTTTTTTTTAAAGATTTTGTGTATTTGACAGAGATCACAACTAGGCAAAGAGGCAGGCAGAGAGAGAGGGAAGTAGGCTCCCTGCTCCGCAGAAAGCCTGATGCCGGGGGTTGATCCCAAGACCCTGAGAGCATGACCTGAGCTGAAGGTAGAGGCTTTAACCCACTGAACCTTCTTCTACTTCTCAGATTTCCCCTAATACTCAAATCATTGATTAATAAATTCAGAAATTTAACTTCTCTTTAATATAACTGCCCCTGAAAGCACTCATTCTATTCAAATAAACTGTACATCTAGATTATTTTTCTCATGGCTAATTTTTGCTTAATGGAAGAGAAAAAATTCAAATAAATTTATCTTTTTCTGATGCTATTCTCTATTAGCTATGTAGCTATTATGGTGTTTTAGAGCTGATGTATTTATGCCCAATAACAGACAGTGTTTTCTTAATAGTCTATAGGAAACTTTATGTGTTTGAGATGAAAATTCAACACATTAATTTAATTTAATTTAATCTGTTTACTTTCTTACTTCAGAAAGAATTTTTGTCCTAGAAATTCACTGCTTTGTGTGTCTGATTTTTAGAATCTATCTTTAAATGCCACTTTTAAATAGGAAGCATTCAGGTGAGGTCACTTTTACTTGCTGGTTCAGTTGGTGATTTCAACAAAATAAATTTGAATTTTCTTTGATGAGAAAATCTATTAGCATCATAAAACCATGTTAATAGCAAAGCATTGGTCCAAAACCAAAAAGAGGATAGATGTGTACTTATTTTAGAAGAATAAGCAGAGTCCTGTCTTTCAAACTGTCCCAGCTGTAATAAAGCCCTAGGCACTTCTGGTTAGGCTCAGCATTTTATATTTCCTGGATATGTAGAGTAGCTGCTTTAACTAATCCATCGCAAATTTGGTATAAATATGGGGGGGATGGGTAGGGGACAAGGGGTGAGTCGATGAGGAAATTGTTTTCTGTTATTTCTGTAACTGAAATGATTCAAACTAGCATTAAACGATTTCATTAAAAATTGGAATCTTGCCGAAATTTAGATTGTCTTGTTGGTAGGATTTCATACAACAGATCTGAATGATAGTTTAACATACTGAATGGATGGGGCGCCTGGGTGGCTCAGTGGGTTAAGCCTCTGCCTTCAGCTCATGATCTCAGGGTCCTGGGATCGAGCCCTGCATCAGGCTCTCTGCTCAGCGGGGAGCCTGCCTCCCCCCCCCCACCCGCCTGCCTCTCTGCCTGCTTGTGATCTCTGTCAAATAAATAAATAAAATCTTTAAAAAACAAACAAACAAACAAAAACATACTGAATGGACCAGAGACTCTGAAGGAAGCTAAATGATTTTTTTCTTTTAATGGTACAAACTTCAGATGCTGATCTAGCCATGCAGGTTCATCAGCTATAATACATGTACCACTGATCTGGGGAGTCGACAGCAGGGGAGGCTGTGCGGATCAGGGGATGGGGACGAATGGGAACGCTCTGTACTCTCCACTCAGTTTGTCTGTGGACCCAACATTGTTCTAAAATAGAAAATTTATGAATTAAAAAAAGGTAAGAAGATAGACTTTGGAACAGCACAGGGTATCTTTATTATAGGAGAGCAAGAGGATCCTCAAGCCTCAAGAATGGGACCAGAATTACATAGTGCTCCACTGTATCCTCAAATGCCAGTATTAGTGATGTGAGATACTTGTGAATCATTATACTTGTTCCCTTCTAAAAGGCAGGCTTGGCCATGGGATTTGTTTTGGCCAATGAAATGGTAATTATAATGAGGTGTCCCACTACTAGAGACAATGAAAGCACTGTGTGGATTCTGTTCTCATCTCTCTGCTCTCCTGACCAGTGATGTTCCAGATGGACCCGATTTTGCCAGTCTAGGAATCCATGGTGAAAGTAACTTGCAAGGGCAGGGCCCTGTACCAACCCACACTGGGCATGTAGAGAAAACAGGAAGTAAACGCTTCCCTTTGGAAGCCACTGAGATTTGGGGTTCTGCTGAACTGCTGCATAAGCTAATTTATCCTCCGACACAGTTCTGTACATCGTTTAAGATGCAGACTTACCTAAAGCCGCATCTATTTGTACCTCTATGTGTACCTGCTTCCTTCACCTGGATACATGCACACGCACACACCTGTATACATGCATCTACAAATAAAGTTCAGATTTTCAAAATAAATATTGAAGAAATGGCTCAAGAACCATAAACTAGAAAAACAGCACACTGATACCTGCACCCTCCTGCTCATCCTGTCTTTGACTCACTAATCAGCTCGGCTCACTAAGCCCCTTCCCTAGACTTGAGCCCATCATCTGTCAGTTAAAGATCATTGGAATACCTCAGCTTTATAAAATGCTTTTCTTCCAAGAAGATCAAAGCAAATGAAAGCTTCTTTTACTGAGCTCTCCTTATTACTCCAGTGACATGGTACACATCAGGTAAATTATTCACATTTGATCAACCAAGAAAATGAGGTAGCAGACGGTTGACAACACTAGTGAAAGGGTACACAGAGAGACAGTGCTGGAGCAATGTCCAAACCCATCTTCCCTCTTACCGTGTTCTCTGCTGCCTCTACACCCTGCTATGAGGGAGATATGATATGTGTTCATCATTTTAAAATAGGATTGCAAAAACCTATGCTGTCCATTTTTAAATTAAGTGTGTCATATGAAGGTTGACTGGTCATTTCAGCCCATTTCATGACAAAAAGGATTTTACCTATAAAGTTTCACTTTGATAGCATCAGTGTAAATAACCTCCATTAATTAGAAACCCACAAAGCAACAGCTGAATGTCTCCAGTCACAAACCAAAGGGATTGGGTGCTTCTGTAAGGCCAAACTCAAGTATCGGTTCCTCGTGCCTTGTAGAATAGTAGCTTGGCAGGCAAGGTCCCCCTGGTACAGGGGACCCTATGGCACTTCGAACACACACTCTCCACACTTCGCCCACCACACCACATCCCCATCCTTCACTAGCTTCCTGGGAGATGAGAAAAGACCATCTGTACCAAGGGTGGACCCAAAGGTCCAAATAATAGTTCTTTTGCTTCTGAAACTCTGGTACGATTATCTCTGTACACTCAAAAAAACACCATCACTTTCCAATGTCTTCTTCAGACTAACAAGAAGCAAGACTTGACCAATACCTGAAGGATGAATACATAGAAAGGGATAGTGTAGTGATAGTGGAGAGATTTCGATAATGGTTCTGCCCATGAGAAAATGGGGGAGGGTCTGTAAATATTTAAGAATCTCAACATGAACAATAGTGGACCACAGAGCTGCAAAATTATAAGTGAAACTCATCTGGACAGCCATCACAACAGCTTTTCCGATCATGAAAATAAATTGCTAGGCCAATCTGTTGTCTTAGCGAGAGAAACAGACATGCAGCAGATGTCTACACAAATGGCACCTGCCAGGTCTGAGGGATTTGTGGCACTCTGTAAAAGCCAGGGAGTTTTAAAACTGATCCAAGGTGATGGTTTCTCATTGTTCCAGGTGTCATGTTAGCCATTTTTCTGTTGTAACTGCATAATCCCCTCCAGAAAAGGAAAGATGCAGAGCTTACAGAAGCTGCTCCCTTTACGCTCTCTGCCAGTGGTCCTAGTTTGGGCCACCTTGACTTTCCTCCCTGCTTGGAGAATGGAAGATGCATTTCACTCTTTATCTCTGGACACATGAGACATAACTTGCAAAATTTAGGAAGTGAGAGGACGGGAATTAATTTTTTAAACATACCTGATAATGGAGAAGATCATCTTTTTATAGCCTTCCCTTCATATGTATTGACCTAGGGAGGCACAGGAACTTCCCATGGCAGGACGATGGGGCCCTTGGTTAGTCTTAATATTACTGAAGCAAGATAATTTTAACATTTGCAGAGAGGTCCAGTCTTGCAATGGTTTAATGATTCAATCCGGCTATGACTGAAGGATTTCAGTAATATATGAAGCTTGGGCAAAACTTGTACAGTTATTGGTCCTTGTACATGGGACAATGGGGTGGTCAGTGGCACACTGTGATAGTAAACGTGTCAGTAGGATAAAGAAGCTCAAGTGTAACTGTCTGTGGTTTGGGTGTTCTTAGTTAAGAGTGACAGATTTCCAAGACCACATGGTCCCCAGATGAGTCACATACTGTGATTCAATTTAAACTCCAAAACAATTCTACTGTATCCGCTCATCTTAACCTGTCAAGGGTGACAGTGAGAATGCTTTCATTTAATAAAAGATATGACAGTCCTTTGTACATCAAAAGACATAATTCTGACGTGCAAATGGCCTGTGAAACAAGTTACAAAATAAAGATCGTATTTTTAGCTTGACCTTCCTAAAAGATGTGTTTCATCTCCATGAACTACTGGATTTGGTAAGATAGTATTTTTAAAAGTAGCAACGAGTTGTATTCTAAAGATACTCAATAATGACAAAACAAAATCAGTTTCTCAGAAGAGCCTTCCATTAATTTGTTTCATCCTTAACATGCGGTTATGGGATCATTAATGTTTCACAGTTAGACCCTGGTGTCAGAGGATATAAAAGCAGAAAAAGCCTTCAAATAATCTACAAAGCGAAACAGACTCTCAGTATTTGATAAAGGAACGCTCTGCAAAACAGGCAGGTGCCCTTGAGGATCGAGAGTTAAGATATGAAAAAAATATATATATGTATTTTGTATTTTTCTATATTCTATAGTATATATAATATGTATAATATACAATATATTCTATATATTCCAAGACATATATACATATATATGCAACATATATACTATATATACTACTATATGCACTATGATATATATAATATAGCACATTTTATATGTATATATATATGTATACACACACACACACACACACACACACATTAGCTTTTCCTAGCAATCCACTTTGCAAAGGCAGCTGTTGACTTAGACCCAGACTGAGGACTTCTCTGACACCAGGCTACAGTGCCTTATGCAATAATGATCTTTGAGGCTTTTCTACAAGTGCTAACACTGTCCAACAGCTGACCTACCAGATCATGCCTTGGTTGAAGATCAGAGCGAGGACATTGCCGCTGATGTCAAATTCAGTGTAGGAAGGCTACAGGAGACACAGATATTCACTGGATTAGCATATCAACTGGTGAAAATTGAAAGCCAAGGGTTTCATCTTCCTGCCTAGGTACACCTGGGCTCTCAACTGCTTCCATGCAGCCACAATAGCAGAGTAACTGATATGATAAATAATTAGCAATAAGTAAACTAATAAAGCACGCTTTCTAACATAGCAAACCTCATTTTTTAAAGCAGCCATTCAATGTTGTGAAAGTGTGGACTAGCGGGCTCTCCTTACATGGCTGGGGGAAGTGAAAGTTGAAGCAACCATTTGACTATATAGATTAAAAATCTCTCTCTCTTTTTTTTTTAATTTGACAGACAGAGATCACAAGTAGGCAGAGAGTCAGGCAGGGCAGGTGGGGGGTGGAAGCAGGCTCCCCACTGAACAGAGAGCCTGATGCGGGGCTCAATCCCAGGACCCTGAGATCAAGACCTGAGCTGAAGGCAGAGGCTTTAACCCACTGAGCCATCCAGGCGCCCCTAAAAATCTGATTCTTTTTAACCCTGTAAGTCTACAGGGTTAGAATTTGTTTTAACAAATTGACCTTAAATGCTGACAAATTTTAGCAGAGATGAAACCACCTAAATGTCCACTACTGGTTAAGTAAATATAGTATATCTACATTGTAATCTATATTGTACCTAATTACAATCACTGTTTGAAGAATATTTACACACACAGGGAAAACTAGAACTTAATGTCAAACAACAAATACATAAAGCTAGACAGTTATTTTTATCAATGGAATATGAAATTACGCATAAGGAAAAGACTTGAAAATGACCAACAATGAATAGGTGTTATAGGTAGGTGATGGATTATGACTTTTGTTTTCTTCCTTAAGTTTGCATATTTTAAAATATTTTTCCAAAAAATGTGAATTTCTTTTACAATAAAATATAGAGAAATACAGTACAAGTTTGAGAAGTTATTCAACTAGATAATACCCTCCCACTTAGGGCAGCAATATGAGCCTGTTTTTGGGGGCAGAGGGGCCCCCAGTAGGAACGGAGGTGGGCATCTGTCCCAGGGTGATCTGTCCAAAGGCTTCCTGGTGACACATCAGGCTGCCTAGAAGGAAAGCTTCTATCAGTGGGAGTAATGCTACTTAGCAACCAAATGGAATTGGCTCCTGTTTAAACTGAGATAGAGAACAGTCTGTCAGGAAAACTGACTAACTGGTAGGTCACAAGAAAAAAGAAGAAACATGAAAAATGTAGACGGAGCGCAGCAAGACCATGAAGAGGGGCAGGTGCCTAATCTCGTCCCAGATCCTGAAATCCTCAGGTGCGGCTTCAGACCATATGGATCCTCATAAACTCCCTCCCAACACACCTCCACATGCAGCACACGCACACATGCTCACACCCAGACACACACAGTGAGATGACCTGAGTGGTGTTGTGCTCAAACCCAAGAAGTACCCCCAAAAAAACATGTGTAAGAAGATGGAACAGTTCTCTGGTTTGGAAACCCGACAAAACCTTTGCAGCTTTTGGATTCTTTGCCTCAAGAGTTCTTGAAGTCGGGCCCCAAAGTTCATCATTTTCCCAAAAGGCAGCGATACTTCGGGGAAGGATATGGGTCATGTGCCTTGTAAAAGATTCAGGGCGTAAGCAGCAAGAATGGTTAAATAACAAGATAAATTGATGAGATGAGAGACTGCTTCTAATCTTCAGAAACGTTAATTTGGAGTCCCTCCCGCCACAGGAGGGCTTTACTCCGGACCGCTTCTTCTCTTCCCCTGAAGCCTTGTGAGCTCACAGAACACATATGACAAACGCTCGGTCGGGAGGCCTGTGCCATCTGTGGTCTTGGACTAGCTCTTCTCTGTGTCAGACCAAGAGTCAACCCTTCATCTTTGGCCTCTTTAGAATGGTGCCATCATTTAACCCACCAGCCTATGTAAAAGTAAAAAAATTCAACCTTTTAGAAGTATATTTTCTTTACTCTCACTAACATATAAGCTTCTTAAAGCCATTTGAGATATTTTTATAGCTAAGTGACGAGGAAAACACCAAAGACACACTAGGAACCCTTGTTCTCATACTGTGTTTGCAGCAGGGGCAGCCAAAGGAATATAATAAATAATTTACAAATAAATGAATAAATGAATAAAATTCATTTTCATGCACTATTCATAAAATAAATGATTTTATTTATTTATTTGTCAGAGAGAGAGAGCATGTGTGTGAGCACAAGCAGAGGGAGTGGCAGGCAGAGGGAGAAGCACGATCCCCACGGAGCAAAGAGCTGGATGCGGGACTTGATCCCAGGACCCAGGATCATGACCTGCGCTGAAGGCAGACCCTCAACTAACTGAGCCACCCAGGTGCCCCGGGAACATAATTTTTGATGCACAACTGGACCAGATGCAGAACATGGGTACAGGGTATCCCTGGTGTGCCACATGAGTTTGTGGTCCAGACACACGTCTGGGATTCACACCTCAATATTAGACTTTGTCTTGCCATGTCCCGGTTGGGTGAGCTGGGCCAGTTGCTTATCTTGTCAGGCCTCAGTTTCCTCACAGATAAACTGAGGAAATGAACAAGGTCAATGGTTATCACATTATGGCCCATGAGACAAATCTGGACCACCAGCTGCTTTTGTAAATAAAGATTTTTTAGAACACAGCTGCATTCATTTGTTTATGTATTCTCTGTGTCTGGCACTAAAACGGGGAAGTTGAATGGTTGGCACAGAGACCATATGGCCTGCTGAATGCGAGCTCCTTTTTCCCTACACTCTACCCACATACTTCTAACACAGACGTGTGGGGTTTACCCCCATTCCAAACAATGCCCTGGTCCTCTGAGGACCTAAGCCGGATGCCCTACCATTTCACTCAGTTCTGATACTGACTGTCAGTCCCACAAGAGTGCCCCACTTCAGACACCACTCACAAGTTCGGCGTGTCACCTATGCTGAGTGACTGACTATACACCAGAGAATTCTCTAATTCCATCTACAAGTTTGATAATCTGCTAGAATGGCTCACAGAACTCCAGAAAACAGTTGATTTACTAGGCTATGTATAGGTTTATTTAAAAAAAAAAAAATGCAAGATAGAATTAGACAGATGGAAGAGATGCACAGGGCAAGTATGAGGAAAAGGGTCCTTTTCCGTGTCCTTTCTCAGCACACCACCCTCCAAGCACCTCAACATGTTCAGCTCTCCAAACCCCATAGGTCAAGGAGCATCATAGAGACTTCATCAGTAAGTATGACCAACTATTAACTCGGTCTCCGGCCCCTCTCCCCTCCCTGGAGGATGGGGGAATAGGGCTGAAAGTTTCAAGCTTCTGATCATGGTGTGCCCTTTCTGGTGACCTTCCCCCATCCTGAAGCTCTCCGGAAGCCACCTCATTAGAATTGCCTTATCAGAATAAGCAATGCCCCTATCACCCAGGAAAACCCGAGGAATGTAGGGGCTCTGTATCAGGAACCAGGGTCAGAGCAAATATTAGAACAAAGGATGATCCTAGCACCTGTATTGCTTAGGGAGTTATAATAAGGTTTAGGAGCTCTGGCCGGGAGCTGGAAATGGAGACCAAAATATATTTCTTATTATATCATAACATCACACCTGCAGAAGTGAAACTGCTTACTATCCAGCCCTTTACATAGAAAGTCTGCTGACTTCTGAACTAGATCATTTCTAAGATCCTTTTTTGAATCTAAAATCTCTAATTGACTGAAAAATTAGACCTAGTTATTAAAGAATTGCTTCTCTGTAAACATCTGGGAAATGCAACTGAATACTGTATGAGTTAAACTCAGAAAATCTCCCTCTAAAAATAAAACGGAAGTAGGCAAACACACACACACAGATACACACTATAAAATTCAATGCTCAGGGGCGCCTGGGTGGCTCAGTGCGTTAAGCCTCTGCCTTCAGCTCAGGTCATGATTCCAGGGTCCTGGGATCGAGCCCCGCATCAGGCTCCCTGCTCAGCAGAGGGCCTGTTTCTCTCTCTCCCTCTGCCTGCCGCTCTGCTTACTAGTGCTCTCGCTCTCTCTTTCTGTCAAATAAATAAATAAAGTCTTTTTAAAAAGTTAAAAAAAATTCAATGCTCATTCTTTTAGAGATGCGTTTAGTAAAATCATATGAGATTATATAATATTTTTGTTTCAAGAGCAATGCTTTAATAACGTAAGTGTAAATCATTTTGCAATACATTTGTTTGATTGCCTCTAAAACATAAAAAAGCTTAAAGGTAAATGAGGCTTGGGAAAAAACAGGTTTTCTTGAAAACCAAGAAATGCAATGATTCAAATGGGATGCATATAGCAAAGTTACTAAGGGTAAGGTTTCATCCCTAATAAGCTTTTTTGGCACCAGCAAAAAAGATCCCATTTGGATATAGGTTGAGGCCTGTAACAACTTTATGATAGTCAAGGGATTGAAAATTGTCTTGTTTTACTTCTGGACTTTTGTTTGTGGTGGGTGAGAGTCAGTCATCTACCCACAGGGAAGACAGAAAGTGGTTGCCGGACTGAAACGCCCAGAAAAACCCATCTGCTCTTGGCAAGTTTCGTTATTTAGGAAAGATCATTAACCTACGGATATTGTGAGATTATCTGAGAGAGAATTCTGTCATTGCAACGTCCTGTCTGATGTACAAATCTCGTTTGCCACACCGGAAATGACTCTGGGTCAATGATTCTCAAGTGGTCCCCAGACCAGAAGGAGCAACATCACCTGAGAACTTGTTAGAAGAGTAAATTCTCTGGGAGCTGCCCCAGCTGCTATGGAATCAGAAACTCTGTTTTCACACACCTTCAGGGGATTCTGGTATACCCTCTGATTCGAGAACCACGGACTCGGTCAAATCCTAGACTCTGGGACCCCAGGCTGCCTGCAGACAGACTCTGACAAATATTCAAGTGAAACTCTAAATCCAGACTGTGCTGTCTCTTTCTCCAGGTTGTCAACCCTTCATAGGCTACTCAAGACTTCTCACTGACCCTTTAGCATG